TGCTGCTGCTTGAGTAGGACATGCAGCCTGAACTAAAGGAGTGCATGTGGTTTCTGTGAGCAAGGCAGAAGAGTACACAAGATAAAAATCATCTTTATGTGCTTAGAACCTTTTAGTGCTCTGTGTGGTCCATTCTCAATCACCCTTCCACATAATTAATTGGTCACAACAGATAAGCAAAACAGTTGTGACTGAAGTACTTTCATTTGTTATTCTTTTGTCTTTCAAACTGCAATGTTATAAATGCTCCTGTAATGCTATTTTTTTTTCCTTAAAATAATATATTTGTGATATGTTTTGATCTCAGAAAAGCAGGCAGGGACTGTTTAATTTCTGTGTTTATTTTTAGTAATTTAATTTCAAATAAGGATAATCATACAAAATTCCTTGAGAGCACTCAGAGGTATCTTTTAAATTGTTCTTTTAAATCTTCTCCTTGGAATTGCCCTTTCTTTGGAGGTGTCAGTCAGCATGGATAGTGCTGTGAGAAAACTGAACCAGTAAGTAAATCTCCTCCTGCATTTACTCTGCTGTAAGACACACAGTTAATTAGGGATGGGGAGTTATCTCTGCTACTTCTCTCATGATGAGGAATTCATTCATCTGCATCTCTTAGCTATTTATCTAATTCACTGTTCTGTCAAGTGCTACATATTGTTGCACTGAAGATGCTGGTAATCAGTGAGGTTTTTAGGCTGTCAGCTGTAACTACTCAAATGGGTTTTGTATATTGAAACTGCAATCAGATCACACTCTTAAGTCCCAGGGAAAAGCTGAATGGCAAACTATTTTGAGTCCTTTTAAGTGCCATTCCCATGGTGATGGGTGTGGCATAATAACCTAGATTAGAGTTTACTAAAATGAATGAGTAATAAAATCTGTAATGAGGTGGGTATAGCATGAGCAGGCATCACTCAAATTTTCCCACAGATTCCTGTTGGCATAATCCTCGTGTTTATTTACAGTACTTGGAACACCAGAAATATTTAAAAAGGCTCATGCACGTCTTCAAAAATCAAATCTCTGCAAATATTCTGGGTATTAGTCAGGAGGGAAGTTGTGTCTTAAAAAGATCCAACTTTCTGACTCTAAATTTTTATAACCCAATTCACAGTGCTCAAAACATCAAGAAAAGAGACATAGCTGAGATTCTAGAAGCTATCTGAAAGACGTGGTAGCTGCTAAAAATAATTATTTCACTGCAAGCTCTGTGAGGCAGCATAGCTGGGTAAAAAAAAAGGAAAAATGAAGAGGAGGAAAATGCTCCAATATAATTAAAGTGTTTCAGTTGCCATGGAACCCCGTAGCACCTTCATTCTGTGCCATGGCTGCACTGCCCCTGGGAAGGGAATGCCACTGAAGATTGATGCTGTTCCTAAGAATACAGTGCAGAGTCATTGCTATATTTTGGGGGGTGGGAGGGGATGAGTCAGGGGGAGGAACTGGTCGTGATTCCTGGAGTAGCTTGAAAGCAGGATGGATTTAATAATGTGGTAATTACTGTGTGACAATTGGACACTTCCTAGACTTCAGACAACTACAGCAGCAGAGATGTTACGTAAGATTTTTTGCAACGTGTTTAGTTGTCACCAGTGACTGAATGAACATCTATTTACTCTTTCTTTAGAAATCAGCACTCAATAGGAACAAAATCCTTCTGCTTTGCTTCGCTGTAGGTGAGAATTCAGCTTTTATTGGTATTTACATAAGTGCTAGAATGATTTGCATCTTTATTAATAGACTGGTTTCTCAGTTATCAGGGAAATGAAACACTCATCAAGAGGAACATTATTGTTAATTTAAGTATCTTGTTTAAACCAGAGTGCAGGAAGGATTCTTTTTTAATTTGTTCAGATACTGTTCTCTGTTGTTTTACCCATGTTTTGTAGAACAAATAATGTAAAATTGATGAAAGCTTGTCTTGAGTAGCTCAACAAAGAACATGGGTTTGGAGAGCTTTTTCTTTTATTACTGCTGGGTAGTCTGGCTGGCCTGGGGAAGGGAACCAGTAAGTACATTAGCAGTGAAAAGACTTCAACCTTTACAGAAAATAAATTACAGAAAATAGTAGTGCAAATGCTGGGATTTTTGAAGCAGCACTTCTGAGATTAAAAAAAAAAAGCAATTAACTGCCTTTTCTGTAGCAGATGTGACCATCACTTCTGTATAGGAATTGCCAGATGTGCATATTGAAGAGATCATTCAGATGGAAAAAAAATCTTTACTGAAAATTCTCATACTTGGGTGAATACATCCCATTGAATAGAAAAATTGATTTCTTCAGTCAAGAGATCCTTACATTCAGTTCTTAAAGGACAACATTTTAGCTCTTTAGAAAGCTTCAACAACCTTGGACCCTTCACAAATCTGAAAAAGGGCAGAAACAACTGCAACTAGTGTTTCCACATTATTGAGAACAATTTTAATTTTAAAGGGAGCCTTGTACTTGTGGCCAGGATGCCAGTAGTTATGTCGGCATCCTGAATTTCCCTGGAGCATCCAGCAATTCCTGTTCTCATGGAGTTATGGAAATGCCTATCTATTATTTGTTGCCCGATCTGATCATGCAGATCAGAAAACAGAGCCACAAGGACTGGAATCAAAGATATTCTGGCTTTCAATCATATGTAATCCTGTAAAGGGGTGTGGTTTCTAGTACCAGGATCTTTTATTACCATGATTCCTACAAATTGGCTGTGCCCTCCTCATACCCAGATGGGTACAGAGGCTGTCAATCATTTCCAGCTGGGATGAACTGAAGTTACAGTTGCTCCAAAGCTACATTTTCATGGGATGAAGTTGATTCTGGTCAAAGAATGGATAACAAATTCTCTTTTCCTACAGGACTACGGGATCTTGAAGTCTGTTCAGTAGGAAATTCCTGGAAAAAACAGTAGCACATTTCCTTGATCTGATCTGTGTGACATTCTCAGTTCTTAGTTCAGGACATTTTTACCATAGCGTTGCAAGGGAGTGAAGCAAACTATTTACACATTTAAACTATTTTTTATCTATTATTTCCCCACTGTTCCTGCTTCCACACAATGACAAGTTCAACAACAGCAGCACAAAGTTGCAACTTCTAGTTTTCATCTTTAAGCTGTCTTGTGGTTGCTGTGCTCTGTCCTAGATGCATCAGTCTGATATTGCTTATACAATTTTAATGCTGTGCACTGAACTGTGAGCATTTGAGATGGACTTACATGGTTGCAAATTAACTGAGAGACAAAACATTAAATTAATGATGGAGAATTATAGAAACACTTAGAGAAAAACCCATTCTGCGTTAGCATCAGATCAAGAAAGCACAAAGGTTCACCACTGCAGCCCTCAAGCCAGCAGATATTTTAGGCAAGTGTTCTGTAAAGTTAGTACAGCTCTCCAGTTTCTACCCTTATTGCACTTTTTGTGTTAGGGATTATTTCCATTGCTAGGGGCTGCAGGGTCATTTTTTAAATAAAAGTGATCCTTTGCTGGGTCTGCACTTCTAAATAGAAGCCAATGTTTAAGCCCTGAAGTCCTTATTCAGCAAAACTTTTATCAGATTTTGCAGGGAGAAAGAGGGGTGGCTGTACATGGATTCAAATATCTGTTTCACCATATAATGACCATGGCAAGAGATTCTGTTTAAAGTTTAGGAAGTGAAATTCTAACAAACATTGCTGAATGCTGATGTAGTTGAAACCTATTATTTGGGGGAGGGCTTCACAGCATTTTGTGCTTTACCATGCTGGATTAATGCCAAAGAACGAAGCCAAAATGAAACACGAATTGCAATCAGTTCCCAGCAGTGGAACTGCTTTCTCATCACCCTTTTGTTCAAATGCATCATGCAGAAACCAAACAAGCTATGAGACTGCAAACTGAGGTTTGCTTTGTGAGGAATTCAGCGGTGATGGGCCAGCTCTGGCTGGGCTCTGCTGCCTCTTCATAAGAGGGGAAGAAGTGGAGCAGAGCTCTTTGATTCAGCCTTGAAAATCGGTATTAAATTGTTGATGATGGCGTTGGAGCTGCTGCTCCAGCTGTTTAAACTTTAGCAGTTGGATAACGCCAGCTTCCACTGTGTTGCTTCACAAACACAATGAAAATAAAAATATTCAGTACTTTGGGATGATAAATTTCTGCATCATAAATTTCTGGGCATCAGGACAAAAGGAAAATGGAGCGAAGCAGCAGACAGTGAAGTTATTCACCCACTAGAGCGATGTGCTTCACACCTCCCCGTCTGTGCCCACCCTCTCCCCCTCCCACCCAGCCGGGCTGTGCCGCAGCGGCGGCTCCGGGACCACCGGGTGCGGCGGGGTCACCCCGAGTCGGGGCACAGCCGCTCCCTGCCCCGAGCTGCGGCTGCCGCGGGGCGAACAAAGCGGGGGGCGGACAAAGAGAGAGGAGGGGGCGCGGGGAGCTCGGGGGCACCGCCGGTGCCGCTGCTGCTGGTGCAGTCCCCGCCCTGGCGGGCGCAGACGTTGTGCCCGCCCCGCTCCGCCTCCTGCCAGCCGGGGCGGCGCCGCTGCAGAGGGGGAGCGGGAGCAGCAGGAGCAGGAACGGGAGCAGCAGCCGGAGGAGGCGGCGGGAGCTGCGCTGGCGGCGGGGCCGGTGAGGCGGCGGAGCCGGGGGGGGGCCGGCCTGGGGAGCGCGCGGGGCGACGGCGGCGCCTGAGGGCGGGGGGAGCCGCGGCCGCAGCCTCCCGCCTCGGGGCCTCCGCGCTTCCCGTCCGGGCGCCGCGCTGGGCGGGTCTGAGGGCGCGGGGGTCGGCGCTGAGGGGCCGTGAGGGGCAGCGGCGGGGCCGTGAGGGGAGGCAGTGAGGCCGTGAGGGGCGGCGGGCCGGGCCCCGGCGCTGAGGGCTGTTAGCGGCCGCCACACGTGCTGCCCGCGCCGCCCCGCAGCGGCCGCTCCAGCGGGGGCCCGGCCGAGCCCCGGCGGGACGGGGCGCTGCGGACGTGGGGCCGGTGCGGAGCAGCAGCGGGGCGGCCTCGTCTCCCTCAGCCCGCGGGGTGGTTGTCCGGAGCGGGGACACGAAGGTCGGATCGCAGCCTCTGCTCGAGTCTCGCCCTGGGAAGCTGCGGCGCTGTGCTGTGTTAGTGGTGGCTTGAGCGGCTGATTCTGAGGGAAGAGGTTTGGGTGTTCCTTATATTCCTTGGTAAGTGCTGACCCGCAATTCCCAGTATCCTGCATTTACATACGGATATTTTACTAATAATCTACCTTGTCGGTTTGGGATTTGTTTTTTTTTTATGGCCGCTCACCATCCTCGCGTTGTTATAAAAGCTACTGTTTTCCAGGTGAGCTGCTCTGGCATCCCCTCAGGTGGCTCAGGAGAGTTTGCTGCCATGTTCTAGGCAGCGTCAGAGCTGCGGGATTCCCAGGTACAGGCGCTGCTCCAGGCCCCTCTTGTTCCCGCTATAGTGCTGTACCTCAGGCCATGCAGTGCTCCCTTTTCTGTGCCATAGCTGTCATGGGGCACAAGGTAATTAGTGCTGTTACTCACAGGGCAATGTGATTCCTGCTTCATAAAAAAAATCAGGAGTTACTTCTCCCTTTCATCTTGGTTGTGATTCCATACTTTAAATAATTTTTCAAAATATAAACAAACAAAAGCCAACACCAAAGAAATTTTCCAAAACAGAGCATGGGGAGGAAATTTTACTCTGTAATTGTATATGTTGATGATTAAAAATATGACTGTGAAATGAAGACTTGTTCCCTACCTCTTTGCTTACCTGCTGTGCAGAATGGGCAGGGTTTTATAGAAGTTCACAGGTTGCTTTGAGATCTTTGAGCAGAAGGATTTTAAAACATGTGATACTTGTGTTGACACGTAGGAAGAAGAAAGAAAAAGAGGTACAAAAGAGGAAGTGCCTTAATGCCAGCTGCTTTGCAAAGTATTTTACTGAAAGAACAGAAATATGCATTCTGAATGCAATGTAAATTTGAAACTACCAGGAGCAGAGAGTGGTTTTCCTGAAGTGTGTCCATGTGCACCTGCTGCAAGAGTAGGAAGATTGCAAAGTAGAAACTGTGGAGGAAAAGTAAACACCTCCCCTCCACCCACAGCAGCATTTCTTTTTCCAAGGAAAGTTTAACTGTTCATCTTTTACATGTTGAGGATTGTTAGTTCTTGCTTGTAAAATGACAATATTTCAGGATTCTCTTCCTGCCCAGTCCTTGTATATGTGCTGGCAGATTTTCTGTCTGTGCTACAGTGCACTAAATCATTCTGTGTACTGAAGGGAGAGGGATGAGTTGTCTGAAGCAGAAAAGCTTGGAAATGTGACCTGAAATGTCCGTCTCTTTAGGGATCAAGAGGGAGATTTTATTTGGCAAAACAGAGTTTTACATAATTTGTATGGTTTCACTTAAAGAGAAGATCCCAGCTTTCTAGGGAGGGCAGAACACCAGCTGTCTTGTATGCTCATTCCAGATGTATTCCGTAGGGAATAGCAGCCTCTTTCCTCGTGTGGTTACACTGTAGGAAGGAGCAGCGCTCGCTCTGCTGATTGCTACGACTTCCTAGAGCTCTTGAAGATTTCCTGTCTGACTTTCAGGTTGTATCTGTTTGCCATCTTCTGACTGTGGATACCCAAGGCAGCCTTTATTTACTCAGCTTGTGCAGATTGCATAATTCCTGTAGTGTTCCTCCCTTTTAGCCCTGTTAAAGTTTTTCTTGGGAGGGACTGAGAATATATCATGATAGATCCTCCTTAAAAAGAAATAGAGAGCTCTGCCTTGCCAATATGATTTTTCAGAGCTGCTTTTCTTTCTCTTTCTAAAACACTCGGGTCAAATGTTAACTCTGTATGTTGAATGCAAGTTTTCTAATGTTTGAACATGACAACCATGAATGAATGCAGCTCTTGTTTAATCCTCTGGCATTCCGTAGGGACTACTGGCTCTGCTGGCACATATAAAGAGTAACTCACTGGAATCCTTATTGGAGCAGCATGTTTGGAAATGCCTCAGATGGATGGTGTTTTGTTATTTCATGAAAGGCAATTATATACTGCATTAGCTGTAATCTCAGCTGCCCCCCAGCCCCATGCCAGTTCCTGCTGGAGCAACCTTTTTGTTGCTGTTGACCAGCAGAACTCTGTCAGCATCTCCCTGATGATTTAAACACTTTGTGCTTGTGCAGGTGTCTGTCCTCCACATCCATTTGTTTTTGCAGAGTGAAGCTGCACTCTGTGACTGACCCTTAGAAATACCCACAGATCTGGTACTGGGCTGTAAAGGATTCAGGAGATGTATCTGAGGACAGGCTAGTATAAGTTTGTGCTTTAATACCCACCTAAGTTCTTCCACTTGGAACATCTCATTAATTATTTGTACAGACTCATAAGAACAGTACCATATATTCTTTTAATTTATAAGACACATCACCACTGTTTCCAGAAGAGCTACCATTACAAGCTGTTCATTTCCCCTGATCTTTTTAATCTTACTGTCTATATTTTTAGCTTGTTATGAGGGGAAATTGCAAGGCAGAGAGAGAAACTCAATATTGTATAGACTCAGCTTATTTGACACTCTCATTCTGCTATTCTGCTTGACAGCAGCATCCACTCAATCACAGCAGTATTTATCCAAGTTCTGAATTTGTACTCGTCCTGAGCTCTCTGCCAACCCTGCAGCAGTCATGGTGCTGATTTCAAAGGCTAAGAACACAGAGAGCTAAAAAGAGACAGCTGACTTGATGTTTTCACCCAGTGTGAAACAGTTACAGTTTCACCCAAGTCTATCAGAATTAAATCCGTACTATAAAAAGCAGCATCTTTGTTTCAGCTGCTTTGGTTGTAATTGTATTAGGGAGAAGTCTTTGTGCCTTTAAATGCTTTGGGATCTGAGGCTGACAGGAGATGATATATTCTTTCCCAAAATTTAAATTGTAGATCCCAAACAACTTAAACTTGAGACTGCTATTCCAAAGTCATCATTTTATTCTGACTGATTGCACTTACTGGGATGGCTGAAGTGCATTATCATCAACAGAAATTAGTATGGACAATGAAACAAACTGTTCTTTTTCTTACTGAAATGGAAGTGTTTGGGGAAAGACAAGAATTTCCTGAGAAAAATGTAGGAAAATTAGTGAGTGATGATAATGGGCTTACCAGAAGAGGTGGCAATTATTTACTTAGTTGGAAACTTTCTCTACTCCTCAATCCTTGACTCCTTCTGTAGGGAATGATGTGCTGAGGAGGGAGGATCATGTGCTTTCTGATCTTTTAATAGACCAGAGCAGCAGTGTTTTTATAATCTGTGTGCACAGTGGCAACTTGAAGTGTTAAGAGTTTGCATCATATTAACAATTATCAGCTCTTCCTGATTAAATAAATATAGGCAGAATCTTTTTAAAGATACTGATCAGGCTGTGTTTGCAATAGCAATAGACTGAGAAAAAATTACTCACAAATTGCTGGCCTGAAATAGTTTTTTAGACATCCTCTCATTTGTGCTTCATATTCAACAGTCTGTGTTTCACTGTTTCTTCACTGAGGATCCTGAGGCATTTAGGAATCTGAATGAGCATAGCAAGTTCTAGAACGATAAAACAGGGTGACTTAAAATGTCCTTGATGCAGAATTAAAATCCATAAGCAGAGCTGAAACTTTGATGAATTACCTTCCTCATAGCAGTGCTGTAATATCTGACTGATGGTTTCAGGTCCTAAGCCTCTTACTATCTTTGATCTGATTCAGCTTCTTCTCAGTACAGTTTCTGAGTTATAGAAATTCACCCCACCTTTTCCCTTTCCCTGGCGTGTGCTGGGAAAATCCTGTTTATACAATTTGCAGCAACCATCCTGCACTTCCCAAGGTAGGAAAACAGCCTTGCCATCTTATTTAGCAACTTAGCAATTCCCTAAAACAAATTTTCAGTGGATTTAGGCCTCATAATGGTTGCCTTTCTTAAGCTCAGTTTTTATATTATCTCCTAACAAACTGATAACCTGCTGCTATCAAATGTATTGATGGCAAATTTGCTTCAGAAATCAGTTGTTCTGAAGGTACTGGGAGAAACTCAAAACTCTTTAAATATAAGTCTCACTCCTGGGCACCTACTTCTGTGAAACTTGTAGGAATAGGATTTATTTTTATTAGAGATCTCCTGCTTTTTATTTTATTTAGTTGAAATTACCCAGCAGGTCAAAATCAAGTACAGATTTGTGTGCAAGCCTGGCTGATATTGAAAGATGATCTAAAAGTCTTTGGTTCTGAATACCCTGGGATCTGTGAACTCACGTGGAGGAGAGTTCCAGTCATCCCTGTGGTACAGAAATACAATTTCTACTTTAGATTTCAGTTGAAAAATAAATCTGAAGTTGCTGGTTGAGCTGTAGGTTCCCAAGTACTTAATGAGGGACAGCGCTGTGGGGCTTTGGGATTCCCAAATATTCTTCCTCAGTCCCTCTCAGTGTACAAGACAGAGGGAGCATCTTTGAGATCTTAAGGAAAGCGGGATTTGTTCTTTGGAGAAAAATTCAGGAGCTATTTCTGGGGATGTCCTTAGACCCGGGTGCGGTGGTTTGATGGTGGGATGAGTGATGACAAGGCTGAGTGTTTGTGTTACAGCCCTGGGATTGCTCTGGAGATCCCTGTGTGCTCCTCTCTCACTAAACACACATTGCTTGCCTCAGTTGAAGGGATGTTTATCTAAACCAGTTCCCTGGAAAACAGTTAGAAGGTTTTTCAGGCCCTCTGCCACTGATGGGATAGCTCTGTTTCAGTTTTGTTGGTTTTTGCCACTCTTTGTTTCAGGTTGAGTTCCTCACATCAGTGCCACTGTCAGAGGAGCTGTGTCATTCCAGTGGGCAAACTTCCCAAATTCCTGCAGGCTTTGGGCTCGTGTTATTATGGCAGCAAAAGTAAACTGTGTTTGGGTTAGACTAAAGCCCTACTAAAACTTGCACACAGCAGTAATTTCTGCTTAAGATAAGAGTTATCCTGGTAGCTACGATGAAGACACTTCAGAAGAGAAAGAATTGCTTTTGCTCTGTTAATTTAATAGTTATGCCTGGTTAAATTAAGGAGAGATGCACTTTTTCAAGAGTCTGTTCCTAGTAAAATTCATATTTATGTTAAAAATAGAATATAAGAAACTGTGGCTGTGAGATTCCTGTAGGTTAAGTGTTTGCCTTTGTGG